ACTTCACAAGCTTCAAAATCTCCCCTCCCCCTACCGCATCCCAAAACAAGCCTAGCTTGTCCCCGCCTCCCGAATCTGTCCTTCCTCCCACCTCAAGGCCCACCCCCATCTCCTACCTACTAATCTCATCCCACCCCCTTGACCTGTCCGTCCTCCCTGGACTGACCTATCTCCTTCCTAACTCCCCACCTACTCTCACCTTTACTGGCTCCATCCCTGCCTCTTTGACCTGTCTGTCTCCTCTCCACCATCCATCTTCTATCCGCCTCCCCCTCTCTCCCTACTTATTTCAGAACCCCCTTCCCCTCCACCATTTCTGAAGAAGGGTCTATGCCCAAAACATCAGCCTTCCTGCTCGGCCTGCTGTGTTCATCCAGCTCTACACCTTATTATCTCAGATTCACCAGCATCTGCAGTTCCTACTATCTCTGATCCAAGAAAACAAAGTCATTAGGTTCACTAATAACCTTTGGGGAAGGAAATTATCCAGTCTGGCCCATTTGTGACTCCTGACCCATAGCAATGTGGTCGACTCTTAACTACCCTCTGAAATGGCTTGGCAAGGAATTCAGTTTGAAGGCAACAAGTACTATTTTCCAGAGATCTCCACATCTCAAAGTAATAAAGAAATAAAAACCAAAGCTCAATTCTGTCTAGAAGTGAATGTTCCAGCCAGTCACTGGATAGCAGTCAGGAGATGAGATCTTGGATCCTTTCCCACTCTTGGCTAATTCATGAACAGGCAATTAAAACCTGGAATCGGACCAGGCTCTCGGGCCCAGAAGATCCATAAAAATCATTCTATTTAGAAAGCAAGGCTTACATTTACGTAGCACTTCCTTGGCATCGGGCACCCCAAAGCACTGAAGTTTTTTTACACTTCATGGAACGTAGAGAATATCACACTATTTTGCACACAGAATGTTCTCACAAACAGCCACGTGATAATCGTCAGGTTATATTCTGGAACGTTCATCGAGGAATAAATATTGGCCAGGACAAAGAAAACGCTCCTAAACATCTTCAAAAATAAAATAACAGAAACTTTTACACGCATGAGGGGGGCAGGTGTGACTTTGGTTTAAAGCCTAATCTGAAATACAACACTTCTGACTGTGCAGCATTCCCTCAGTACTGTATTAGGAATGTCAACTAGTGGGGCCTAGAAATAAGTCCAAGACTTTCAGCAGGACAGAGATGGAGACAATTTGGTAGGAAAATAAACCTCATCATTCACTTTGAAAATTATTAGAAACAATTGATTCAGCAGAACAAATACTACTTCATTCTAATACAGATAGTTTTCTTCAAACAATTATTCCTTCTGGGAAAGTACAGCCTTCCAGCACTATTGTGAACTCCAGCAGCACAAATATTCTTGCAGGGTCAAACAAAAATTCCAGGGGCTTTTAGGGTAAGCAAGCTCACCACACTGCATCATTTAATCAAATGTCAACTCATCACTGCACTAAAGAAAGCTTGTAATAAGAGTAATGGTAGAAATAAAATAATTTAATATTTTCATTTAAATGAAAAATTACAAAGTTGTTCCACAAACATACAGTAAGCTACAGGAATAGTGGACTCGCTTGTGCTTCATGAAGCTGAACATGTCCATCAAAGCATATCACCATTATCATTTGGTGATTGTTGAAGTGCATAAATTATATTGCCATTGTCTTCACAAACAACTGTGACAGTACTGGAGGGATGAATCATTTGATCGTTTGTCTGTGAGCAAGTCTGAAAATTGTAACAACAAAAGATTAGTTAAAAACATTGCAATTTCCTTTGACTGTTCTGATTGAAAATTGGTAGATGTGTGCACAATCTATGAAGTTATACTTTTAAGTTTTAAAGTTTTCTCTTTTCATTTCTAAAGGGTAAATTTGAGAGTTATTTTCCCTTACCATTTGATTTTCATATGTAGCTTGACATGTTAAAAATTATTGCAAGTGGCTTCACAAAATTCACCCTCTGTAAATTACACTGCTACAATTGGTGTACAGCTACATTTAGATGTTCAATATCAGCAATATTCCAGAGGCTAAAAATGAAGAAACAACTAAAACAAAGTACAGTAGATATCAATAACACAAACCACAGACTAAGATGATGCAAGTTCACATTCTCAGCCAGTGAGAGGCAAAAAATAAAGACAGTTACTACAAAGAGAAGTAAGAGATTTAGAAGTGAGTGTTGCTGCTTCTCAATAGAATATAGCATTACAATAACAACCCAGTTCAGGAATCATTAACAGCTTTCTCATCTTTTAGTATCACGGGACATCTTGAGGATGGAAAACAAAAGTTGAAGCTTCAATTTGAATCCCAGCAATGGAAACCTTGCATACAAAAACTTTGTAACATCAACGCAGCAGTTATTACTTCAAATTAAAGTGCAAATCTAAAGCTACCTCAGTCTGGGAAATCATGCTGCTGATGAGGGCTAGATCTCCTATTCCTTTAGGTTTCAGTGCTCAAAACACACTTAAAGCAGTTATAAACATGGTGCCCTCTCCTAGCAATGAACAGAAGTCAGAGTGTCCCAACAGGCTACAAAGCCTACTTGCCGGTCTGGATTGTTGGGGAAAGTCGTAACAACAACAACATATATTTGTATAGAGATAGTAGGAACTGCCGATGCTGGAGTCTGAGATAACAAGGAGTGGAGCTGGATGAACACAGCAGGCCAGGCAGCATCAGAGGAGTAGGAAAGCTGACATTTCAGGTCAGGACTCTTCTTCAGAAATGGCGGAAGGGAAGGGGGCTCTGAAATAAATAGAGAGGGGGGGAGGCGGTGTTAGAAGGTGGATAGTGGAGCAGATAGGTGGAGAGAAGACGGACAGGTCAAGGAGGCAGGGATGAAGCTAATAAAGGTGAGTGTAGGTAGGGAGTTGGGATGGGGGTTGGTCAGTGAAGAGGGAGGGGCGGGTAGGTGGGAGGGAAGACAAGGAGGCGGGTACGAGAGGGAGGGCTGGTCTTGGAATGAGGTTGGGGATGGGGAGACTTTGAAGCTAGTACAATAGACCACATTAGCAGATGTGCAGGTGAACATCTGTTTAATGGGGAAGGTTTTCTTGGGGCCTGGGATGGAGGTGAGGAGGGAGGTGTTGGGGCAGGTGTAATACCTCCTGCGGTTGCAGTGAAAGGTGCCGGGGGTGGTATAGCACCTTTAATGTAACAAACATCTCAAGACACAGGAGTTTTACTAAACAATGTATAACATTGAATCATATCAAGAAATATTAGGTCACACAAGCTTTATCAAAGAGCTAGTTTTTAAGGACTGTTTTAAAAGTGGAAAGTGAAACGGAGAGGTGTAGGAAAGGAACTCCAGAGCTTAGGACCAAGGCAGCTGATGGCACGGCTACTGATGGTGGATCAATTGGAAATGCACAAATAATCGGAATTAGAGGGGTGCAAATATATGAGGGTTATCGAGCTGGTAGAGAGTACAGAATTAGGGAGGGACAAGACCACGTAGGAGGATTTCAAAACAAGAATAAGAATTTTAAAATCAAGATGTTAGATAACATAATGAGTGAGTTCATGGTTGGGGGCAGGGGAAAGAGGATTTGTTGGGAGTTAAGACTTGGGCAGTGAGTTTTGACTGATTAGAGAAGACAGAATGTGGTACCACACTCAGGTGTGCATTAAAATCATCAAATCTAGGGGCAGTGACAGTAATAATGAGTTTTAAGCAGCAGATGAGCTCAGACGGGACAGAATAAAACCATAAACAATAGGAGCAGAATTAGGCCATGCAGCCTATCAAATCTGCTTTGCCATTCATGGTCAAAAGGTTTCTCAACCCCATTCTGCTGCCTTCTCCCCATACCCTTAGATCCCTTACTAATCAAGAACCTACCTCTGCTTTAAATACACTCAATGACTTGGCCTCCACAGCCTTCTGTGACAATCAGCTCCACAGATTCACCACCCTCTAGTTGAAGAAATTCCTTATATCTCAGTTCTAAATAGCTGTCCCTTCCCTCTAAGGCTCTACCTTCGGGCACGAGTCTTTCCTACTAGCGGTAACATCTTGTCCACATCCACTGTATCCTGAATTAGGATACCCAAGTCCCTTTGTATTACAGATTTCTGAAGCCTTTCTGCATTTAGAAAACAGTCTATGTCTCTAATCCTTCCCATTATTGTATTCCATCTGCAATTTCTTTGCCCACTCTTCCAGCCTCCCTGCCTCAACACCATCTGTTCCTCCACCTTTGCGTCATCTGTAAACTTAGCAATAATGCCTTTTGTCCAGATCATTAGTGTATAATGTGAATAGCTGTGGTCCAACACAGACCCCTGCAGAACTCCATTAGTCACCAGCCATCCTGAAAAAGCCCTCTTTATCCCCACACTCTGCCTTCTGTCAGGCAGCCAATCCTCTATCCACACCAGTACCTAGTCTCTAACACCATGGGCTCTTATCTTATTTAGCAGCCTTCTGTGCAAAATTGTCAAAGGCCTTTTGGAAACCCAAATAAATGCATCCACTAGCTCTCCTTTGTCCAACTTGCTTGTTACTTCCTCAAAAGAATGCTAACAGATTTGTCAGGCATGACCTCCCATTGATGAGGGCGTACTGACTCAGCCTGATTTTACTAGACACTTCCAAGTACTCTACAATCTCATCCTTAATAAAAGATTAAAATCTAAACAACAACTGAGGTCAGGCTAACGGGCCTCTAATTTCTCATCCTTTGCCTCCTTCCCTTTTTAAACAGGGGTGTTACATTACCAATTTTCCAGTCTTCTGGGACACTCCATTGGTGGTGATTTTTCAGGAATCAATCTCCTCAACTATCTTCTTCAGAACCCAGGGTGTAGTGCATTCAGCAAGGTAACTTATCTGCCTTCCGATCTTTTAGCATCCTCAGTGATGGCCACTAAACTCATCTCTACCCCCGATTTTCTAAGGTCTGGTATGCCATTGATGTCTTCCATCATGAAGACTGATGCAAAGTACCTATTCAGCTCCTCTGCTATTTCTTTATTCCTATTACTACTTCTCCAGCCTTACTTTTCATTGGCCCAATGTCAACTCTTGCCTCTCTCAAGTTTTATATATCTAAAACTGTTCTTCAATAGTTTTTAAATGACTAGTTAGTTCACTCTTATAATTCATCTTGTCTCCCCTTATTGCTTTTTTAGATGCCCTCTGCTGATTTTTAAGGACTTCTCACTAATCTTCACTACATTGTATGTTTTACCTTCTGGTTTTGGATATTTTGAATTAACCTAGTCAAGATATGTTATAGCAAACCTCTGAGACACCTGAACTCGGGCTTTATTTTTATGCTGTCCCTGTTTTCCCTTGTCAGCCATGGTTGCCTCCTCCTCCTCCTCTCCTTAGTATGTTTCTTCTTCCTTGGGACAAATTTCTGCTGTGCCCCTGAATTACCCCCAGAAACTCCTGCCATTGCTGCTCCAGCGTCTTCTAAACTAAGCTCTCCTTCCAATCAACACTGGCCAGGTCTTCCCTCATGCCTTTGCAATTATCTTTACTCAAACGTAATAACAGTTACATCTGATTTCAGCTTCTCCTTCTTAAACTGCAGGGTGAATTCTTTCGTAAGAACTGCGGATGCTGTAAATCAGGAACTGCCTTCTGAGGAAGGGTCACCGGACCCGAAACGTTAACTCTGTTTTTTCCTTCCCAGATGCTGTCAGACCTGCTGACCTTTTCCAGCAATTGTTTTTGAATTCTTGCATATTACTATCACTGCCCCCAAGGGGTTCATTCACCTTAAGCTCCCTAGTCAAGCTTGCCTCATTACACATCCAGAATCGCATGTTTCCTAGTGGGTTCTACCAGAAGCTGCTGCAAAAACCATAGTGTAGACATTCCATAAATTCTTTTTCTTGGGATCCACTACTGACCTGATTTTCCCAGTCTACCTGCATATTGAACTTCCCCATGATTATTCTCATAGAAAAGGTGTGTAAGAAAGGCACTACCTCCTAACTACTGCTACGCAGACTGCTCATAACTTACATCAGGGTGTTTTTCTTTTGCTGTCCTCAACTCTAATCACACATATTCTCGACCTTCCAACCCTATAATCACTTCTTGCTATCAATTTAGTTTCATTTCTTGCTAACAAAAAACCCGAAACGTCGACTCTCCTGCTCCTCTGATGCTGCCTGACCTGCTGTGCTCCTCCAGCTCCACACTACGTGGACTCTGACTCCAGCATCTATGGTTCTTGCACTCTCCACCCTCAGTCCTGCGTTGACTGTACACCCTTCTCATACTTGCTCCCTATTGGCTGTGCTGAACTTAGTTTCCTGACCCTTTCCATACTCCCTGTCCTATCACTTCTTCTGGAAACTAATAACCTCTCCAAAGTGCTCCCTCACTTTAACCAGTTTACAGTTCTTGTGACCAACCTATTTAGCATTTCTGCGCGGATTCTGGTCCCAAATCATTTCAGCAAAGTTTGGCGATGTTACAGAGGTGAAAACAGGTGGGCTTTGTAACAGAACAAATGAAAAACTGGGAATTTAACTTGGGAACAAACGGGCCTCCAAGGTTGTAAACAGATGGGATTAATCTCAGACAGCTGGTAATTGCTGGGGAGCAGAGTTTGCGGTGGGCAATGAAAACAATGGTTTCAGACTCCACAATACAGGGATGAGGGTTGAATTATCCTTGTTTATAAAATGCAGAAAATACTTGGAAAGACGGGTCAGAAAATTGGTACTAACTTTGATTAAGGAACAGGCTGCTGAAACACAGACTGATTTTGATAGTTTGGAGGAGATGGATAATGTCATTTAATGTGGAAATGCAAAGTCACAAAGTTAGGAGTGTTGCACTACAATGGCAATAAAAACAATAATATTTATTCCACATGACACAACACAGGACATATTGAGGATATGATGGATACATCAAAGACCTTAGTATGCTATACTGTGGAGATAATGAAGATAGTAGAACATAAATAACAGTTATTTTAAATTTTAGACAGTGCTATAACTGGAGTAACTCTGTACAACGGTCACTATATAATGAGGTAGCCAGGTACTGAAATGTAGGAACAAGAGGCCGCCAATCGGCCCCTTGAGCCTTTTGCAACATTAATTGTATGAACATTCTGTATCCAAAACATAATTACCTACCTTAACCCATATCCCTTAATAACCTTGGTTAGCAAAACTTAAATCTAAATCTTAAATTATTTATTGAACCAGCTTTTATTATTAATTTTGTGAGGAAGCTCCATTCACCAACAATCCTTTGCATGAAGAAGTGCTTCCTAAGCTCGGCGGAATGGCTTGGCTTTGATTTTAAGATCATGTCCTCGTGTTAAGTTCCCTTCAGGATTTTTCTACATACCCTTTCAATTTCTTTCAAAACCTTCAAGTAAAACTTCAATCAAAACATCCCTCAACTTTCTATATTCCAGGGAATAATTTACATGTAAAAGGCATTATGGAGTATCTGTTAAAATATTCAAAGTTCTCTAGATACACAGGAGAAAAACCTCAAATAACAATCACTGATTCTACAGGAGACACTGGCTATAAGTTCAGGGTTTTTAACAGCATGAGAAGTGGCCCTTCAGCCCATCTTGTCCATGCTGGTCATCAAACACTTGTCTATTCTAATCTGTACCCCCTCTGGTGCAATCATATCCTTCTTAATATGGCAAGTTGAACTGCATGCAGTACTCCAGCTGTGGCCTACTCAATGTTATATACAGCTCCATTGCTCTTGCTCTTATATACAACGCCTCTGATAATAAAGATAGGAGCCTTCTTAACCACCTTATCTATATGTCCTGCTGTTTTCAATGATCTATAGACATGCATTAAAAGGTCATTCTGATCTTCTGTATCTCCTAGGGTCCTTCCATTCAATGTTACTTCTTTGCCTTGTCAGACCTCCCAAAATGTATCAAGTCACACTTTTCAGTATTAGATTCCATTGCCATTGTTCAACTTATCTGACCAGCACAACTATATCCTCCTGTAACCCAAGGATTTCCCCCTTGATATTTACATACCACTAATTTGCAAATAGGAAGGAACAAAGCACTGACTTGTTACACATTTCCAAGGTAGCCGGGTGTTGGGAGCAAAGGAGGAGTGGACAAGGGTATCCAGAGGGAACAGTCCATGCAGAAGGCTGACAGGGAAGGAAAATGTGTCTGTTGGTGGGAAAAACAGTGGCTAATGATCCTCTGGACATGGATGCCGGTGGGATGATAAGTGAGGACAAGGGGGACCCCATTGCTGTTGCGGAACGAAAGCGAAGGGGTGAGGGCTGAAGTGCGGGAGATGGGTCGGATCCAACTAAGGACCCTATCAATTACGGTGCCAGGGAATCCTCAGTTGAGGAAGAAGATGGACATTTTAGACAAACTCTAATCCTATGGCTAGCAATTCTACTCCCACTTTCCAGCACTTGGCCCAAAGCCCTGCATGCCTTGGCATCACAACAGCACATCTAAATAAGTCTTAAATATCATAAGAGTTTCTGTGTCCACCACCCTTACAGACACCGTCTGGGTGAAAACATTTTTTCCTTACATCCCCACTGAACCTCCTGCCCCTTACTTTAAATCTACGACCCAAGTTATTGATCCCCTCACCAAGGGGGAAAGTTCCTTTCTGTCTGTCTTATCTATCTCATCTCAATCATGTCCCCCTTCAATCTCCTCTGCTCCAAGGTAAACAACCCTAATCTATCCAATCTCTCTTCATAACAAAAGTCCTCTAGCAGCATCCCCTCTAATTTTCTGTTTAGGTCTCCAAGCCCCATGCATAATAGCAATTTCCACAACAGGAAGTCAATACTGCAATCAGCCTGCCACTCTGATTGCCCTATGCAGAAATTTGCTGCGCTGCAGCTTAGAGGGAATGCTGTTCTCCAGCCCTGGCAACATCCTGGTAAATCTTTTCTGCGCCATCTCCAGTGTAATTACAAACTTCCTACAACGTGGATTCCAGAATTACACACAATACTCTAGCCGTGGCCTAACCAACAATTTATATTTTTCCACCATATCCTCATTGTTCTTAAACTCTATGCCTTGGCTAATAAGGACAAGCATACCATATGTTTTTATTAAACCACTTTATCTACCTATTCCATTACGTTAAGTGATTGATGCATACTAAGGTCCTATTGATCCTTGGTGCTTCCCTGGTTCCAACCGTTCATCTTGTATTCCCTTGCCCTGTTTGCCGTGTTCAAGTGCATAACCTTTTCCACTAATAAGCCAATATGATCAGCCATCTATATCCTTGTGTCATCTAAGATTATCCCCCTATTTATCACCCACCAATTTTCCTAACATTTGAGAATTTAATGATCAATCCTCTTACATTCAACTGTAAATCATTTATATACATCATAAACAGCAGGGGCCCCAACACTGTCCTCCAGTCCTCTGGCACCTCTCGTGTGGTCAGAGATGAATTGAAAATTATTGTCCACGCCCTTACTACTTTCTCACTTTTCTCACTCAATTAGATGTTAGGCTTCAATATGTAACATTAAGACCAGGACTATAGCTTATCTTGTCGGACTTCTACATACTGGCTTAAAAAGCGCTCCTGAATGCATTTCAACAATTCCGCTCCCTCTAAACCTTTCTCACACTGACTATCCCAGTTAATATACAGGAAGTTAAAATCCTTTACCATTATTAGCCTATCATTTTTTACACTTCTGAGAATTACCTACATACCTATCTATCTCTCCTTGACTGTTTGGAACTCTATAGTACACCTCAACGTAAGTGACAGACCCTTTTGGATTTTAAGTTTAACCCATATGGCCTAATTTGAAAAACCTAAGATATTATCCTTTCGTGACTGCAGTAATTGGATGCAGTTGGATGAATACTGTAATGCCTGCCCAGCCACTGCCCTCCCCCAACCATGTCTCTGTGACAGAAATGCTGTCACAACCCTATGCACTAAAAAACACCCTCAACTCATTTGCCTTACTCACAAGATTCCCTACATCAAAATAATTAATATCCAGCCATGTGACTTGACTTTGTTTGCAATGCCTTCTAGACTGACTTGATGCTTTGTCTATACTTGTTTATCACCCTTGCTGCACTTCCACTCTTTGGCACTGCACTGCAAAATATGCTGAACATCCACCTATAGGTGTATCAACATTCTAGAGTGAACCCTTTGCCTACCATCTCCATTATTTTCAGCTTCTCCTCGGAAAGAATATTTTTGCTTTTAAGTTGGTCCACAAGATTTTCCATGGCTTTCAGCCGGGCTGAATTCCTCCTCTCGCGTTGCTGTATCACTTTCACTTTTTTTTGCAGGTTAGCAATAATTCTTTCAAGCTGTTCTATGGTGAGGTCACTTTTGTAGTATGAATGTTCACCTTGTACTTCTGAGTGGTCAGGCAGTGCAGGCATAACTGTTTCTACAGAAGCAATTGCTGGCCCAGTGGACATAACTGCATGATTTTTCACAACTGGTAGAGTTGACGTAACTGGTACAAGGACAGCAGAAGGCATCGTCAGTAGTGTTTCAAAGCCAGACAGTTTTGTCAAAGTTTCAGTTGTTGCTGCCAGTAATATGGAAGATGTTGCAGGAAACACGTTGGAGAGAGATAATGTTTGATTAGTTGATACTACGGCTGATGCTGTTGCAATATTATCAAAAACTGACATTGCTGGAGTAGAAGGGACTGATGTTGAAGGTTTTAGCTGGAAAGATTTCAGCGTTTCAATATCTTGAGCAGCTGGATGCACAACTTCTATCGATGCTGGTTCCGGTTCCTCGCCCATCTGTGCTGACACAAGCTTTGAAGTTTCAACTGTTGGCAAAACTCCACCTGTTGTTCCAGTTTCAACTGATGTCAATGTTGGTGTAAGTGGAACAGTTTCAACAGCTGCAACATTTTCAAATGGCAATAGTGATGGCTCCATCAGTGCAGATTGAGGAGATCTGCCTTTGTCTATTTGCAACAACTCAAAGGGATTCACTGCCATGTTCGGTAAAGATTGAACAGTTGGTGTAATTGATTCAGATGTACAGTCAATATGAGCACAAGAAGATATAGCTACCTTATCAGCTTCAGTAATTGTACTGGATGAAGTTGACAGAGTTGGTTCTGTTGTCATAACTAACAATGCAAGTGCCTCTGGCTCACTCAATTCATGTGACAGAACTGGAACAGTTTGCATTTGCAATGCCTTTTCATCTTCATTGCTTTGACCTTCCAACCTCTCTTTTTTCCATTTACTTCCGACTGATCGAGCATGGGCTTTCCTTTTCTACAGAAATATTTTTAAATTAGAAATTTCAAGAATACAATTGATCCCACAGAATCATTTTAATATGTATATTATTACAGTTATCACACACTGGGATCTTTTTAAGCTGCCCTCATTATTACAGAAGACCTTTGGAAACTAATGGTCAATCGCTATGCTGATAGAAACTATTCAAAATAACTAATTGTTTGCACGTTTCAAAATTTAAAAGTTTAGGCCAGTACAAAAAGCATCACAAAAGGCCCATTGCCTACTCAACATCAGTAACACCCAGTTACATCAACATGAACCTATAAGGACTAGAAGAACCAGGCATGTTTATTGATCTGCTGCAAGTTGGCTAACTTCAACCAGGGCAACAACTGCTGCTTCGACAGTTAACCTCAACTCTTTGAGCCAGGGAGTAGGAAAGGTGAGGGGTTTCAGCTTCTGGCCAAGATATACTTTTCAACCACTTGGTATCCTGTTTCACAGAGTCTTGGTTCTTTAATTTGATCCATCAATTAGCAGAGTCCCTGTTTGTGGATATCTGAGCGATCAGAACAAGGCCCTTCACAATGTAACAATCTCTAACATTCACCATTTTCACTTGCATATGAAGAATGATGAGCTGAGCGAGTTGCAAATGGTTTGAACTTTCATTTCTAATTACTTTTAGGGGAGGTGACAGCTTAGCGGTATTATCACTAGGCTAATCATCCAAAGACCCAGGTAATGTTCTTGGGACCTGTGTTTGAATCTTGCTATGGTAGACAGTGGAATTTGAATTCAATAAAAATTCAAATGAAAATAGTAGTCTAATGATGAGTATTAAACCATTGTTGATTGTTGGGAAAACCCATCTGGATTACTGATGTCCTTTAGAAAGGAAACTGCCATCCTTACTTGATTGGGCTTACATGTGGTTCCAGACCCACAGCAATGTGGCTGACCTTTAAATGCCTTTTGGGCAATTACTGGCCCAGCCAGTGACACCCTCGTTTCATGAATGAATTTAAAAACTAAAGTCCTCAAAATATTCCCAAAGCATCAAGTAGCCAATGAACTACTTTGAAGTGAAATCATTGTTGTGCACAGACCCGCTGCTAACGCCCTACAATGGGGCTTTCAACTCGAGAGGGAAATGTAGCACCATATAATCAAGCTGCCTGTGGTCTAGTGAAAAATTGCTGTCCTCAAAACCATGCAATAATTTGGAATTTGAAAAGTTTTATTAAAATATTGTTTCAACAGCCCCTTTTAAACCTGTGACCGCTACAATTCAGAAGGACAAGGGCAGCCAATGCATGGGAATACCTGCAAGTTCCCCTCGAAGTCACAAACCATCCTGACTTTGAAATATATCACAGTTTGCTCATTGCCGCTAGCTCAAAATACTGGAATTCCCTCTCCAACTGCAATGTGGATGTCCATATACCTTAAAGACTTCAGCAGCTCAAGGAGGCAGCTTTCCACCATCTTTTCTAGGGCAAGTAAGGATAAGCAACAAATACTGGCCTAGCCAGTGACGCCACATTTTGTGAACAGGGTGAAAAAAGGGGATTTGGAGCAAGTGGGGAGGCAATGACATAGTGATATTATACAGTCATACAACACAGAAACATATCCTTCGGTCCAACTCATCTATGCTGACCAAGTTTCCTAAACAAAAATAATATCTATTTACCTGCGTTTGGCCCATATCCCTCTAAACGTTTCCTATTCATATACCTTTCCAAATGTCTGTTAAATGTTGTACCTGTTACTGCATCTACCACTTCCTCTGGAAGTTCATTCCACATATGAACCACCCTATGAGAAAAAAATTGCCCTCAGCTCCCTATTAAATCTTTCTCCCCTGTTTGGGCTAGTAATCCAGAGACTCAGGAAATCTGACAGAAGCTGGGTTTGAATCCCACCAAGGTAGATTGTGAAATTCATTACTGAAAAAGGCTGAAATGCTCTCTCCATCACCCCAACCAAAATAGATAAATATCCAAATTCAGAAGCTCTCCCAATCCAAGAGATAAATTACTCAGAGCTATGTATGTCGTTTCCTTAAATTTTGTGGCTCTGTTTCAAATCTCCCTTATTTTTCCAATTAATTCACAAGTATCGAATGGTCTGTTTCCGAACTGCATGACTCTATAGCAGCTGTTCACTGCTCATCCCTAAAACCAAGATACGTTCAGCCAGAGAGCAGGACCAGTTTGGTTGGAGTCTGGAATCACAAGCCAGACGCTGGGCAAGAACTATAGGTTTCCTTTCTAAAAGGACATTGATGATCCAGTTGGTTTTAAAGCTGTTTATATCCCTCAGCTTCATGATTACTTTTATTGGTCACAAATTTGTTTTTATTTTCAGATTTTTAAAATAAAACCAATTTCAAAATCTGATTTTTAACACAAATTTTATGGATTAGCAGCCCAGGCTTCTGGAGCCTAGACCACTCATTCACTTTGCGACTGTAACCTCAGTTAGCCAGTGTGGTAAGAATACATTAAGGCTTTACTTCAGTTCCATTTCTTCAAGCCACAAGAGCCTTATTTCCAGGTGTACCCCTGAGTTATTTTAGGTAGATTTCAGCATTATTCCACAGATTTTGAAAAAGCGCACACAGGAATATTCAAACCTACCGAGGCCAAACATACCACAGGCTGCTCTGGAAAAGGAAAAATCGTAGGTACAGCATCTGCCTTCAAGTATCGTGTCCCCCACTTCCATTCAAAGCTGTCAGGAGTAAAGTGCTCACTGCAGACATATTGGTATTGAGATGGAAACCATTTCTCCCTTTTCATGTTGGAAAGCCATTTCGCGAGTCTCTCTTTGTCATTCAATGGAAACCTCAATCAAAACAAAAAGTCGCTTCTGAGAGACTCAAAACAAATATGGATTCTCCTGATGCTATAACAGTTCAGTGTTGATCAACAACTCTCCCAACTCACTACCACGCCGAGCACTCTTTATATGTTCATTTGTAACCAAGAAATTAAGACTTCTCCACAATTCAACACTCACCTGAAAAGACCCCAGTCCATCGATCACAAATTCTCAGGTACAGCAAACATTTCCACTGGAATAGAGAAAGCTATAGGTGTGTACTGGATAGCGATGAAGGTTATCTAAGATTACAAAGAGGTCTTGATCAATTGGGTCAATGGGCCGAGAAGTGGCCAATGGAATTTAATTTGGATAAATGCAACATGTTGCATTTTGGTAAAACAAACAAGGGCAGGACTTATACAATTAATGGTAGGGCCTTGGGTAGTGTGGTAGAACAGAGAAACCTAGGGGTTCAGGTACATAATTCTTTAAAATTTGCATCACAGGCAGACAAGGTGGTTAAGACATTTAGCATGCTTGCCTTCGTATCTCACACCTTTGAATAAAGGAGTTGGGACATCATGTTGAGATTTTACAGGACATAGGGGAGACTTCTTATGTATTAGTGTGCGCAGTTCTGGTTGTCCTACAATTGGAAGGATATTATTAAGCTGGAGAGGGTTCAAAAAGATTTACCTGGGTATTGCCAGGAATTGAGATATGAAAATAGGATGGATATGCTATGAATTTTTTCACTGGAACGTAGGAGGTTGTGAAGTGACCTTATAGAGGTTTATAAAGTTACGAAGGGTCTTACCCTTATGGTGGGGGAGTTCAAAATGAGGGGGCAAAACTAAACCGGGGTTCAATTCCAGCCTTGAGTGACTGTCTGTGTGGAATTTGCAGATTCTCCTCGTGTCTGTGTGGATTTCTGCCATCATTTACTGTACCAGAGTACTGTGATTCATGTCCAAGGACACTCAGATCCATCTATACCACATGTTCTGCAATCATTCTCCATTTAAGTCCTAACCTTCCTGCCAAGGTGGACAAGTTGAAATTTTCTTACATCATACTCCATCTGCCACATTTTCTCTTTGTCCCTTTGCAGACATTTTACCTCTTCTTGAAAACTTACTTTCCCTCCCACACGGGGACGTAGGAACTGCTGCCAGACCTGCTGAGTATCTCCAGTCACTTGCTGTTATGATTTAATCTGTGAGATGCCTGTGCGACTCTGGAGCTGGATGCACTGGGCTAGGCGTAAAGGGAGGGCTGAACGGCCTCATCCCGGTTCGTTCCACTGCTCTCCCTTCACTTTACGAACCCAGTGGAGCTCCTGCAGCCAGGACAAGACGACACTCACTTGTAGAAGCTGATCCTCCGCTTATCAGCCGCCACTTGGCCCGCATGCCGCCAGCAATCGGTCACGGTACAATTCTTGGGCATGACGGCGGCAACCACTTCCCCAATTCTAACTTCACTGAACCGCCATGGTGGAATGGGTTGGGTGGTTACTACACAGTGCGCATGCGCAGAAGCCGCACGTGACCTTCAGGATCAACCATCTTTGAACGCATGATGCTGGAGAATCTGCTGCCTTCCTGCCAGTATGAAACGTGGAAGCGCCCCTATCATCATCATCACCAGTGTCGCGTATCACATCAGACCTCCGTCATCTTTTATATTGGACGTTTAGTTTTACACTTCTTCCCCTGTTCACAGTGGTGAATTTACCGCAACATTTTGCATCTTTAAATAAAGTGCTTCGTGTTGCTGACTAAGATTATGGTTAAATCTCTGAATTAATAGCCTCAACTGAAGCAGTGCGCTTTGTTCTGGGCCCCACATTTCAGGAAGTGCCGGCGAAGGTGCATTGAAAATCCAACAGAATGGTTCCAGCGAAGAGGAATTTCCGTTACGTGGATTAATTAAAGAAATCAGTCTATTTGCAGAAAAATACATTGAGGAAATTTTGTACGAATTCAAAATGCAGAAGGGGACTGACCAGAGTATGTTCTCATTCGTAGGAAGATCGGGAACCGGAGACCCAGCGAAGTAATGTTTAAAGAAACATAACTGTTCCTTTATAGTATTGGCCGGATTGTCATGATCATGTCGTCTCTACCCGTGTTTTAAGCGCCCTTGTGTGCAATCTCCGGTAGGCATTAAACATATCACTTGAAAGGTGGGCCGGAATCTTGTAGAGTCTGAGCAATGTGGGCTATGGTGAAATTTATGGCAGGATCGGACAAAAAGTCCAGGGAGGCCTATCTCGATGTAAGGAGCATCCCGCTCCATTTTTTTATGCTTCACAACCAGTGTGATGAATCTCTCGCTAGGTAGCGGCAGTTGCCAGTTACAGGAGATTGTTACAGATTAAATGCCTTGGTGACAGACCAAGTCACCTCATAACGTTCAGTCTTCTATTTTGCCAAACTCACCAAACACACTAGATGTCGAGAAAACCTGACATGAAACTACGGCAGGAACTTGGCAAATCCAGCTGGATGCTTGCTCTGGTTGGCCTCCAAGTTGTGTCCAAATCAAGTGCAGCTCAGGGCATGCACCAGCCACATACACCCCTCATCCACGGACATTGATATCTGGCATTCACGAGCCCCTTAAGACCAGCATGACACTTCTCCAATAGACTGGCAGGGCACTTTGAAAGCACAGACACAGCGCAAACTGTGAACTAGCATTGAACATGTAGCAGAGATACTATGCACAAATGGCTAGGCAGCTAACTCACCGAATGTACCAGGCTACTCATTTAGTCTGTTAAGCTCTAATTCACGTTGCCTACTTGGATGCTACAATCATCTATACGTTGTCCAGCTTTGCCATGCTGTGCCAATTCATGCAATCACAGAGGCAGGCAGCTTGCATTGCTGGTCAGTAGTCCTCAGTCAAGTTGGTGGACACACAGCAATGTATTATGTCATACCTAAACCACTTATCAGCAGTTTATACCACAAACACTGCACATGCAGGACGCAAACAGCCATGTCTCTTAGTCTTAGCGGAGTCAACCTCACTGAAGTCCATGGAGGCACCTCTCTGTTAGGGAGTGCCATCACAGTAACTCTGAGTAGCCTCCCGTACCAGTCCAGGGGATTGGCCATAATCAGGCGTTCTGACAGGGAATTCTTGGTGACAAGGCACATGCCTGTTCAGTCTGAAGCATGGCTCATTGTCAGTCCTGTGGCTCCATAGTGATCAGTCAGGTGTTAAAACTAATGCAGTCAGGAAAATGTGCAGCCAATAGTCAGGTATCTGGGCACTTATTGTCCACAGCTGTCTAGTTAGATCACTCAACGGGTAGGTCATGATCAGTCTGTCGACTCTGTCTGCAGAAATTAAGGGGTGGGGGAGGGGGGAGGGGGGAGGGAAGGGTTGCTACTGCTGTGAGATTGAGACTCTTAAATTAATGGGACTGAGGCTGAGGGAATTGAGGCTGATTGACAATTGTGAAGGGGGCATCAGTATCTGCAAGCGGGAACACAGTAAAACATGGATGGGTGGGAGGGGTGGTCATCCACAGTAAGGAACACGCTGGTTTCAAGGGGGTAAGCAGTATATGACCTCACTAGGCATTGTCACCTCATGCCAGGGGCTGGGTAGAAAAGGTAAGTGGAGCAGATGCATGCATACAGGTTGGGTGGGGAGCTGTGAAGCCACTGGGATTTACGGGAAAGGCAGTTGGATCTTTGAGGCCTCATCAAAACTGAGGCAGAGGCTCAGTGCAGGTCACAAGCCAAGGAGCACTGCCTGTTGCTTTGTATCATGTTGCAAATCAAAATTGTAGAATTGGGAAGAAAATGGCTGCAACGGCACTCAGACTGGGTGGGATAAACGACTGGACCTGTGAGTGAGGAAGCTGTAAAACTACTACTGTTAGAGCTTTTAAAGGGAATGAACATTACACACATACAAATGTACACAGATTTGCTGATCCCTATTTCCTGGACATTCCAATTTATTGCCTCATCTGTGTATTGCACCTCTCTACCACAGACATTTCTGAATGACTCATTGGCAGCTAGACCTTTGGACACAGAAGCTGCAAAGAATAGGAGTTTTGTATGAGGAGGGCCAAGGGAGTCAGTAGCATTCAATGCCAAGAACGAACATTGCTCTGCTTGCTTCCACATGATGTAGTCGGCTCTCAGTATAAATAATCATCCATGGAACATTTTCTGTGGCCATGAAGTGCTGCCTGATGCTGTAACAATGCCTTTTAGGGTTGCACAAAGAGATAACCAGATGTAAGATTATATCAATGACATTGATACAAAAATATAAAACCAGTTGCAGAGTATTGTGACCCATGTTACCAAAGTGCCCTCAATAGGTCTTCTTTCTCTCCTGTCGCAATGATTTAGTGTATTTCTGATTTCCCAGCTGAGGTGGAGTGAACATGCTTGACAGTGGAGCCTGAAAGTTTAATTGGGCGACCCCAGGGATCAATTGCGCCTGGATGGCCAGACATGCCAAAGGTCTTCTTACCAGATACAGCCGACCTTTCTCAGGATGAACTTCCAAGGATGCAAGTGCAGCAGGCAGTAAAGAGGATTTGAGTAGAGGAGCAGGAGGCAATTATAGAGGGCTTTGGTGAGACCATACCTTGAATATTGCATGCAGTTTTGGTCTCCTGATCTGAGGAAGAATGTTCTGTCCATAGAAAGAGGGCAGCGAATGTTTACCAGACTGATTCCTGGGATACCAGGACTGACATATGGCATATATAGGATTATATTTGCTGCAATTCTGAAAAATGGTGCGTGGGGTGGTTGGGGGTAGTCTCAAAAGCCTACAAAATTCTAACAGAACTAGACAGAGTAGATGCAGAAGAATGTCCACAGTTTGCAACCAGGGGTCACAGTGTAAAGATGTAGGATCATAGAATCCCTACAGTGTGGAAGCAGGCCATTCAGCCTGTCGAGTCCACCCTCCAAACATCATCCCCCCCAAACCCACCCCATCCCTGTAGTCTTGCATTTCCCATGGCTAATCCACCTAACCTGCACACCTGTGGACACAATGGGCAATTTAGCATGGCCAATCCACCCAATCTGCACATCTTTGGAGTGCGGAAGGAAACCGGAGCACATGTAGGAAACCCACACAGACACAGGGACAATGTGCAAACTCCACACAGACAGTTGCCCCCCACCCAAGGCTGGAATTGAGCCTGGGTTCCTACTGCTGTGAGGCAGCAATATTAACAACTGAGCCACCGTGCCACCCCAATGGGGGTAAACCATTTTGGAATGAGATAAGGAGATATTTTTTCATCCAGGGAGTGGTGAGCCTGTAGAATTTGCTACCACAGAAAGCAGTTGAAGCCAAAACATTGTATGATTGAAAGAAGGAGTTGGATCTAAAGGGCTCAAAGGATATGGGGAGAAAGTGAGAACAGTTTATTGAGATAGATGATCAGCTATGATCATAATGAATGCAGAACAGACTCAAAGGGTTGAATGGCCTACCCCTGCTTCTATTTTCTATGTTTCTACAGGTCAGAGGGGTGTGACCCAGCCATGAGAGGGCTGTGTATGGTCCCTCCTCTGAATGTGTGTTTCGTGGCGCTGCCCTGTCTCCTTCTGAGGATGGGGCACCTGGTTCCCGTCACCATGCCTGTAGTCATGAGGAGCAGTGACTGGGGTGATGGAGAGCAGATATGTCTCCAACAGACCCTGAGGCTGCTGGACCTGGTTCTCTATGTGGCAGCCACCAACACATCCATAGGGAGAGCCAAGTGGTCATATGATCCATGGTAGTTCTGCAGCTTCTGGGCTATGCAAGCCCTTGTGTCCCATATAACTGCCTGCAGTTCCTGTGTCTCCCTGTGCATGGGTATGAAGTCCTTGATTGCTGATACCAGCGGGTCCTTCTCTGCCTGGCTATGAGCTGGTGCCATAGCTGGCCAGCTATGGAGCTATTGCAGCTTGGTATTCACCAGACAACAAGGTGCAGGACTGGATGAACACAGCAGGCCAAGCAGCATCATAGGAGCAGAGAGGCTGACGTTTCAGGCCTAGACC